TTGGCATTCAGTGCTCTGTTAATTTGAGCATTATTGTAGCCATTCTGTCGTAGTGCGTCTTTAACGTGTTTAATCTCTCTCACTAGACTCTCACCATCTGATACTGTTTTGGCCCGATGTACGAGCGTCTTGATAAGAGAGGATTTCTGAGCTGGATGATGATGTGATTCTGCATTCAGATAGGCATCAGTGTGCGTTTGCTTTCTGTAAACGCTGTGTGTTATTTTACCGTTTAGGCCATGTCCAAGCAAAATATCTAGGAATGGGAGTGTGTTATTCACCTCCATTTCCATGGTGAACTGGATGGCCAGGTTTTGTGCATTGAGATGATTTAGAAAATCATTAAGTGTATCTTTACCATGTGGCCAGACAACCAAAGTGTCATCCACATACCTAAACCAAAAGGATGGTTTTAATGTGCTTGAGGCAAGTGCTCTTATTTCAAAGTTTTCCATGTACAAATTTGCTATAGCAGGGGATAAAGGAGAACCCATTGCTGCTCCTTCCTTTTGTTTAAAGAAATCCCCTCTCCATAAGAAGTAAGTGTTATTTAAACAATGGCCAGCAAGTTTCGGAATGTCTTTTTGTAAACCGGTATTCTTTACTAGTGTATCAAGTAATTTAAGCAATTCGTCCACTGGAACCTTAGTGAATAGAGAAATCACATCAAAACTTACCAGAATATCATCAGGAGTAAGTTTAATATCTTTAATCACATTCACAAGATGTTCTGAATTTTTTATGAATGAAGATGTCTTACCGATGTAGGGCTGTATTTGTTTGGTTATATATTTTGCTAATTGATAAGTGGCAGAGCCAATTGTACTGACTATGGGTCGTAATGGGATGCCGATTTTATGAATCTTTGGTAGCCCATAGAGTCTAGGTGGTTTTGAGGCCCTTGGCTTAATTAGGTATTGCTCATTTTTAGGGATTAATGAATTTGCAATTATTGCAGTGGTCTTACGTTCTAAAGTATTAGTTGGATCTCGTTTAATTTTAATGTAGGTACTTTCCTCTAGTAAATTTCTAATTTTATTATCATAATCGGCTCGTGACATCACTACAGTAGTGCGGCCTTTATCAGCTGCTAGGATTTGGATATCCTTATTTACACGCAGCTCTCTTAAGGCTTTTGCCTCGTTAGAGCTAATATTTACTTTTGGAACTTTGCTATTCTCAATTATTTTAGCAACCTCATGTCTAGTCATCTCTGCCTCATTATGTGGAAGGAGTCTAACTGCTGATTCTACCTCAGCAATTATCTCATCCACTGGAATTGTGCGTGGGGTAACGGCAAAGTTAAGGCCTTTAGAAAGGATAGAGACCATGTCACCGGTTAATACAGTGTTGGTCAAGTTCAGTACAGTTTTGTTTTTACATTTTTGGTTTTCAGTAGGGATTTGTTTATTATGTAGTCTAGAAAATTTATTAATTTGGTTAGTTTTTGTTAGTTTAAACACATTATCAGCCGATTGTTGTGTTATGTTATCGGATTAATTGTTCACGTGGCAGCTGCTACATTGGGCAGACGGGACGTAACATCAGCGTAAGACTAAAAGAACATCAGAGAAATATTAAATTATCTCAAACACAACTGTCGGCAGTGGCAGAACATGCTTGTCAACAAGGACACTCAATTGATTTTGACAATGTTGCAGTGGTGTGTAAAACTAATTATTACTGGCAAAGACTAATTAGAGAATCCATTGAAATTGAGAAGAACAAGAATAACTTTAATCGCTCTGACAGCTACCGGCTTAGTGCGGCCTGGAAGCATATTATTAAATAATACACATTACATTTAAAGAATTACTAATCTACAACTCATTACTAATCATAACCAATGACTGATTACTAATCGATTATATAATTACAATACCCCCCTCCGCCTCTAATCACTGCACCTGATATGAGTTAAGTGATGATGTCACCCTGCTGCTCTATATAAAAACCAGGAGCAAGCGAGGGCTTTACCATTCTGGCGAATTGCTTGATGATGCTGGATGTATTTACCAGCGAAACGTCGTACTCAAACTGTAAATGTGGATTAACTCTTCAACACACCGGTGGGCTGAAGTAGTGAATTATTTGTCTTTTGTCAACGTGACACTTTTTTTGCTGATTGGCCGTGTCGGGTGGTGGAGGGTTACGACACATTTATAAATAAACGCGATCTAACCCAAAAACCTTTATTATGAATAATATTGGTCGCGAAAGCCTACGTGTTAAACTTACTAACCTCTATGGAGAGGATACTTTTCTTAAAACCAGAAAATTGGAGAAGCTTCGCATTAAGCGGATGAAATTGATATCTTCACTGGCGTTCCTCAAAAGGTGCAGAGATTCAAAGGTAATACCAAACGCAGTTAAAATAACACATCACATAAAGTCTTCTAAAGCTAACCAAATACTACACAAAGCTAGCGAATTATTATTAATAGAGAGAATACAGCACAATAGGAGTGAATTATCTTACATTTCGGAATCGCTAAAGCAGTTACACTTAGATATAAGCAATAGTGTATCTATGCATTATTGGAATATAATCGATAACATAACACAACAATCGGCTGATAATGTGTTTAAACTAACAAAAACTAACCAAATTAATAAATTTTCCAGACTACATAATAAACAAATCCCTACTGAAAACCAAAAATGTAAAAACAAAACTGTACTGAACTTGACCAACACTGTATTAACCGGTGACATGGTCTCTATCCTTTCTAAAGGCCTTAACTTTGCCGTTACCCCACGCACAATTCCAGTGGATGAGATAATTGCTGAGGTAGAATCAGCAGTTAGACTCCTTCCACATAATGAGGCAGAGATGACTAGACATGAGGTTGCTAAAATAATTGAGAATAGCAAAGTTCCAAAAGTAAATATTAGCTCTAACGAGGCAAAAGCCTTAAGAGAGCTGCGTGTAAATAAGGATATCCAAATCCTAGCAGCTGATAAAGGCCGCACTACTGTAGTGCTGTCACGAGCCGATTATGATAATAAAATTAGAAATTTACTAGAGGAAAGTACCTACATTAAAATTAAACGAGATCCAACTAATACTTTAGAACGTAAGACCACTGCAATAATTGCAAATTCATTAATCCCTAAAAATGAGCAATACCTAATTAAGCCAAGGGCCTCAAAACCACCTAGACTCTATGGGCTACCAAAGATTCATAAAATCGGCATCCCATTACGACCCATAGTCAGTACAATTGGCTCTGCCACATATCAATTAGCAAAATATATAACCAAACAAATACAGCCCTACATCGGTAAGACATCTTCATTCATAAAAAATTCAGAACATCTTGTGAATGTGATTAAAGATATTAAACTTACTCCTGATGATATTCTGGTAAGTTTTGATGTGATTTCTCTATTCACTAAGGTTCCAGTGGACGAATCGCTTAAATTACTTGATACACTAGTAAAGAATACCGGTTTACAAAAAGATATTCCGAAACTTGCTGGCCATTGTTTAAATAACACTTACTTCTTATGGAGAGGGGATTTCTTTAAACAAAAGGAAGGAGCAGCAATGGGTTCTCCTTTATCCCCTGCTATAGCAAATTTGTACATGGAAAACTTTGAAATAAGAGCACTTGCCTCGAGCACATTAAAACCATCCTTTTGGTTTAGGTATGTGGATGACACTTTGGTTGTCTGGCCACATGGTAAAGATACACTTAATGATTTTCTAAATCATCTCAATGCACAAAACCTGGCCATACAGTTCACCATGGAAATGGAGGTGAATAACACACTCCCATTCCTAGATATTTTGCTTGGACATGGCCTAAACGGTAAAATAACACACAGTGTTTACAGAAAGCAAACGCACACTGATGCCTATCTGAATGCAGAATCACATCATCATCCAGCTCAGAAATCCTCTCTTATCAAGACGCTCGTACATCGGGCCAAAACAGTATCAGATGGTGAGAGTCTAGTGAGAGAGATTAAACACGTTAAAGACGCACTATGACAGAATGGCTACAATAATGCTCAAATTAACAGAGCACTGAATGCCAAATCACGATCGCAAAGCAATACTACTGAAAGCGACCAGATTGTTAAAACAATAAAAATTCCATATATCTCAGGAGTAACTGACAAATTAGCCCATGTTCTGCAAAAACAAAACATTACAGTAAGATTTGGTACAGTACACAAAATTCAAAAACTAGTATCTTGCACTAAAGATGCATTACCTAAACTATCAACAGAAGGTGTATATCGGATTAATTGTTCATGTGGCAGCTGCTACATTGGGCAGACGGGATGTAACATCAGCGTAAGACTAAAAGAACATCAGAGAAATATTAAATTATCTCAAACACAACTGCCGGCAGTGGCAGAACATGCTTGTCAACAAGGACACTCAATTGATTTTGACAATGTTGCAGTGGTGTGTAAAACTAATTATTACTGGCAAAAACTAATTAGAGAATCCATTGAAATTGAGAGGAACAAGAATAACTTTAATCGCTCTGACAGCTACCGGCTTAGTGCGGCCTGGAAGCGTATTATTAAATAATACACATTACATTTAAAGAATTACTAATCTACAACTCATTACTAATCATAACCAATGACTGATTACTAATCGATTATATAATTACAATACCCCCCCTCCGCCTCTAATCACTGCACCTGATATGAGTTAAGTGATGACGTCACCCTGCTGCTCTATATAAAAACCGGGAGCAAGCGAGGGCTTTACCATTCTGGCGAATTGCTTGATGATGCTGGATGTATTTACCAGCGAAACGTTGTACTCAAACTGTAAATGTGGATTAACTCTTCAACACACCGGTGGGCTGAAGTAGTGAATTATTTGTCTTTTGTCAACGTGACACTTTTTTTGCTGATTGGCCGTGTCGGGTGGTGGAGGGTTACGACACATTTATAAATAAACGCGATCTAACCCAAAAACCTTTATTATGAATAATATTGGTCGCGAAAGCCTACGTGTTAAACTTATGTCTGGTCAGTTGGTGGTGATGTCTGGTGAGGTAGTGTGGTTATGTTTGGTGATATGTCAGGTAAGGTAATGTCTGGTGAGGTGATGTCTGGTGAGGTGATATCTGGTGAGGTGATGTCTGGTGAGGTGAGGTCTGGTGAGGTGAGGTCTAGTGAGGTGATATCTGGTGAGGTGATGTCTGGTGAGGTGATGTCTGATGAGGTAATGTCTGGTGAGGTGATGTCTGGTGAGGTGAGGTCTGGTGAGGTGATGTCTGATGAGGTGATGTCTGGTGAGGTAATGTCTGGTGAGGTGATGTCTGGTGAGGTGATATCTGGTGAGGTGATGTCTGGTGAGGTGAGGTCTGGTGAGGTAATGTCTGATGAGGAAATGTCTGGTGAGGTGATGTCTGGTGAGGTGATGTCTGATGAGGAAATGTCTGGTGAGGTGATGTCTGGTGAGGTGATGTCTGGTGAGGTGATGTCTGGTGAGGTAATGTCTGGTGAGGTGATGTCTGGTGAGGTGATATCTGGTGAGGTGATGTCTGGTGAGGTGAGGTCTGGTGAGGTGATGTCTGGTGAGGTGATATCTGGTGAGGTGATGACTGGTGAGGTGATGTCTGGTGAGGTGACGTCTGGTGAGGTGAGGTCTGGTGAGGTAATGTCTGGTGAGGTGATATCTGGTGGGGTGATGACTGGTGAGGTGATGTCTGGTGAGGTGACGTCTGGTGAGGTGAGGTCTGGTGAGGTGAGGTCTGGTGAGGTGACGTCTGATGAGGTAATGTCTGGTGAGGTGACGTCTGATGAGGTGATGTCTGGTGAGGTGATGTCTGATGAGGTGATGTCTGGTGAGGTGATGTCTGGTGAGGTGATGTCTGGTGAGGTGATGTCTGGTGAGGTGAGGTCTGGTGAGGTGATGTCTGATGAGGTGATGTCTGGTGAGGTGAGGTCTTGTGAGGTGACATCTGATGAGGTGAGGTCTGTGGTGAGGTTTGTCGATGTCTGTTTACCTGCGAGCGAGCGAGTGAACGTACACCCCCGACCCTCTAGGGGCCGTCCATAAATGACGTCACGCGATTTTGGGCGATTTTTGACCCCCCCCCCCGTCGTTACACGGCGTCACAAAAAGTCAGACCCCCCCCTCAAATATGACGTCACAAAGCTCTGCCCACCCCCCCAAAATAAAACATGCTTCAAATCGTTTTAAACTATTGTCATTGTAGTGCTTATTTAATGTGACGCTGCACTCTGATGTTGTAGGAGAAAACATTTATTAAAAAGTCAATTTAATTAAGTAGAACGTGTTGTCTATATTTATTTAAAGTTGCGGAATTTTGATGTGACGTCACATTCCTCAAACCCCTCCCCCCCCTCTTCGTCACACATCGTCACAAATGCCTGACACCCCCCCCCCCCCTAGGTGCGTGACGTCATTTATGGACGTCCCCCTAAGGCTTCGACGACAGAGGCACGCTGAGGCCGCGCGGTTTTCACGCGTTGAGGGACGGGGCAGGCGCGAGGTCGGCGTGATGACGACACGGGGAGGGAGGGAGGCTGACGGCGGGCGGGGGTCGATGCAGGCGGGGGCGATGATTGGCGGCTGGCGGAGACGCGATGACGACAAAGGGGAGAACGCGATGACGACGACGGCGAGGAGGGGGAGGGGGGACTGAGGGGGAGGAATGAAGGGGGGGCGGGACTGAGGTGGGGGCGGGACTGAGGGGGAGGCGGCGACGAGCCCGAGAGAGCGGCAGGCAATGGCTGAGGGGGGTCCCGTTCTGGACCGGGTCCTGCAGTTCTTGCTCGCCCAGGGGGGACGCGTGAGGGACGGCGAACTCACCGAGAGGTTCCGGGGCTTCCTGGAGGAGGGGGACCCCGCCAAGAGAGGTAACCACCCACCCACCCACCACCTCCAACACCACCACGCAACGCGCGGGTCTCACACTCACAGCCCTGACTGCGAGCGCCTTCACACTCACCGACAAGGCCTCACCCTCACCACGGTGTCCTCACACTCACCCTCACCACGGTGGCCTCACCCTCACCACGGTGGCCTCACACTCACCCTCACCACGGTGGCCTCACACTCACCCTCACCACGGTGTCCTCACACTCACCCTCACTACGGTGTCCTCACCCTCACCACGGTGGCCTCACCACGGTGTCCTCACCCTCACCACGGTGGCCTCACACTCACCCTCACCACGGTGGCCTCACACTCACCCTCACCACGGTGTCCTCACACTCACCCTCACTACGGTGTCCTCACCCTCACCACGGTGGCCTCACCCTCACCACGGTGTCCTCACCCTCACCACGGTGGCCTCACACTCACCCTCACCACGATGGCCTCACACTCGCCCTCACCACGGTGCCCTCACACTCACCCTCACCACGGTGTCCTCACCCTCACCGCGCGGGGCTCACACCCTGACAGCGAGGGCCCTCACCCTCACTCACCCTCGTCGCACTCACCATGGGGGCCTCCTCACGCTCGCCACGGGACCGTTACCGCCACGGGGGTACTACACTCGTACTCACCACACTCGTACTCACCACACTCACCACACACTCACCCTCACCACACTCACCCTCACCATCACCGCGCGGGGCTCACACTCACCCTCATCGCACTCACCACGGGACCGTTACCGCCACTGGGGTACTACACTCGTACTCACCACACGCACCCTCACCGCAGGAGAAGCTGACTGTCACCGCACTCATTCTCACCACACTCACACTCACCACGCTCACCCTCACCACACTCACCACACTCACCCTCACCACACATCCTCACCACACACACTCACCATCACCACACTCACCACACTTACACTCACCATCACCACACTCACCATCACCACGCTCACCATCACCACGCTCACCATCAACACGCTCACCATCACCATACTCACCCTCACCACGCTCACCATCACCATGCTCACCCTCACCACGCTCAACATCACCACGCTCACCACACTCACCCTCACCACACTCATCCTCACCACTCATCCTCACCATCACCACACTCACCATCACCACACTCACCCTCACCACACTCACCCTCACCACACACACTCACCATCACCACACTCACCCTCTGCACGCTCACCACACTCACCCTCACCACACTTACACTCACCATCACCACACTCACCACGCTCACCATCACCACGCTCACCATCACCACGCTCACCATCAACACGCTCACCATCACGCTGTACCTCACCACACTCACCCTCACCACACTCACCATCACCATACTCACCCTCACCACGCTCACCATCACCACGCTCACCCTCACCACGCTCAACATCACCACGCTCACCACACTCACCCTCACCACACTCATCCTCACCACTCATCCTCACCATCACCACACTCACCATCACCACACTCACCCTCACCACACTCACCCTCACCACACACACTCACCATCACCACACTCACCCTCCGCACTCTCACCACACTCACCCTCACCACACTTACACGCACCATCACCACGCTCACCATCAACACGCTCACCATCAACAAGCTGACCCTCACCACACTCACCATCACCACACTCACTCTCCGCACGCTCACCCTCACCACACACAACAACAACCGCCACTAATTGGCGGTGACGTAACCACGAAGCTTGTGCCAAGCTATGTGCACGTTGAGGCCACGTGAAGTGTCGAACGCCCGCTGGCAGGAGGTCACGGGGCAGACCCAGGTGCCACGGGTCGACTGACTGAGATGACTGGCTGATGCACCACCTGTGCCCCCTTCTGTGCCAACTTGCGGTGCTTTAGCCACCCAGCGCTCTGCTCGTTGTTGTGAGCGTCGCTCCTCCGCCCTCCGTTGTTGTTGGAGGGCGACTACCTCCAACTGCCCAGTAGCGTCCTTCACGAGCCTCCTCCACAGAGGCCAATCTTGACACCGCTGGTACCAGTCATCGGCAAGTCTACTCAGCTCCACGTCCTCCTGTACCACATCACTCCATCTCTTCTCTAGCCCGTGCCGCGCCCGTTTAGCCCCCTCGATCCTGCCGAACAAAAGCTGTTTCGGCATGCGGTGGCTGGGCATGCGGGCTACATGACCCAGCCATCGCAGCCTTGCCTGCCAGAGGAGCTCACCGATGGCACTTTGTCCAGATCTCTCAAGGATTTGTGAGCTCACACAATCCAGTCTGGCTAAACCCAGGATGGATCGTAGGCAAGCCAGCCTAAATGTTTCTAACCGGCGAAGATGTTCCATTAGAGGGGTCCACGTTTCGCAAGCGTAGAGAAGGGAGGGAGGGAATGACTGTGGCCGAGAAGACCTGAAGCTTCATGTAGAGCGACAGACCAGGTAGCTTCCAAACAGCGTTACGAAACCGATTAAAAGATAATGCTGCTCGACTGATTTGGAATGAGACCTCTGCTGTCAAACCGGAGCCGGTCATGAGCACACTCTCCAGGTATGGGAAACTCTCCACTCTCTCCACAACTGCCCCATCATCAATTGGGAGTTGTGGGGGTAGAGTCTTCCGATGGTACAAAATACCCAGGCAGGTGCTTAGTTTTGGTGGGGCAGATGGTAAGGCCCCCACCTCTTAGTGGCAAGCTCCAGGTTCAGCAGCAGGGCCTCCGACTCCTCCTCTGAGTGAGCAGCAATTACCAGATCATCGGCAAACTTAACATGGTTGAGCAATAGGGAGCCATCCCTTGACCGCACCCGGGCGTCGATCAGCCTCCCATTGTATCTGTACCAGATGGAAATTCCTCCGGTACAGCTATTGAAGGCTTCACGAACTACATGGTCGAAATAGATGTTAAATAATGTGGGAGCCAGAGGACATCCCCTGTCGCACCCCAAGGTGTACAGGGAATGGCTCTGATTCCCGGCCACGTAGTTTTACCCGGGCCCGCTCACCATCATGAAGGTCCTTAATGATCGTGACCAGAGGGTCAGGGACTCCAAAAGCACGAAGAACAACCCAGAGCCCAGGCCTACTGATGGTATCATAGGCCTTGACCAGGTCAATAAAGCAGAGATGTAGGTCTTGTTGGAATCCCCTACACCTCTGCTTACTTAACAAATAAAAAAACTAAAAGATGAATACAGGAATAGCGAGAGAGAGAAAATACATGCACGTAACAAGAAAATGATCATCACAGAAAATAAATGAAAGTAAATAAATCCGTTCAATCTCCGTACCCCCGCCCAGACCACAATCCCAACATCTTGCCGGATGTGGGAGAACCTTCACAGGAGGGGTGATGGTGGAGTGGCCGAAAAAGTTAATGAGCCAGTTGGACCATAATCAACTGCAAAAGCCTATTTTCTAGCATATGCCTGGACAAATAATTAGGCCTTTAGTTAACATTTGATGATGATGATGGGATGTTGTGAGGCCCCACTGCGGCCCTCAGTGACTTAATTTAATACGCCCCTTGGCCGCAAGACCCTCCTGTAACTCTTGAGTCTTTCCTTGGTGTAAAAAAAAACTGTGTAGAGTTATCATAGTCCTCGTCAGTGGGTGGGCCCTACATGTACTGTACAACAACTGTGTATGTTGGAACTTCTTTCGCACCGTACGTAACCAACCGTGCTAGTCGGAGGCGCGGGGGTGGGGGTGAAGGAAACAAGCTAAACACAAGTTCACTCTGCTTAGCGGGTACATCACTAATTATTATGGTGGCACGCCTTAATCGGAGAGGTGGGGTGGGTGGCACCCAATGTGCATCCCCGTCACTGCAAGCGTATTAGTCGCACTGATCGGATATTAGAGCTTTCATGTTTTCCGACCCTGGCTATAAGTCGTGTTCCTAATCCTGGCTCAGTCACTTCAGTCACCCTCTTGCAGTGATGGTATAAGTGACTGACGTATATGTGTGTGTGTTGGCACAGTAGTGGGCACAGGTGGTGCATCGGCCAGTCATCTCAGTCGACCCATGGCACCTGGGTCTGCCCTGTGACCTCCTGCCAGCGGGCGTTCGACACTTCCTGGCCTGGCACAAGCGCCGTGGTGACGTCACTGCCACTTAGTCGCAAATGACAATTGTTGTTCATTTGAAGTGGCGTAGTGGCCAGGGCGTTGCGCTACGAACCCAGTGACCCGAGTTCGATTCTCGCTCACGGCCAACACCAGTGACAAATATCTGAACCGGTCCTAGGCCTCAAATGAGTACCTGGTGCAGTGTAAAAACATCGCCACTGGGGAGAGAAATACTGCCGGGCGTGGTGTTGGCTACCCATACCCTCGTGTGCCGTGCCGGCCTTCATAGGTGCTCGCTAACAGCACTTTCCCCAACAGCAGTCTGTTAAGGCTATACAGGGGGTCTTTGTTTTTGTTCATTTGAAAGGCTTCTTCAGCTCACGCTATGAAAAAGGTTGTATCATCTATAACACTTACAATGCCCCTGCTGCTAGCTGCACACGAGATAATTTCATCTATTAAATTGATTGAAGAAGCCATATAGCCGCAATGCCATCAAGATTTAGCAAAGCACTAAATTAATGGGTAATATCTGCTTAGAAATTTATTGTGCTCTTGTAATTTTGTCAAATATTTTGTCGGCAAATAACACGTTACTTTTTTTTATTAAATGAAGTGCAGTATATATTTTTTTCCTGGATAATCGCTCGAGATTGAACATCATCACGTTGAAAAAAAAATGAATAGAAATCAAACCATCAACGATATTCACAATATAATAGTATTGTGCGAAACTGACGATACAATCATCATGCCTTGTATCGTAATGACGTGTTTCCGGTTTGATTTTATTTTAACCCAGGGTGCGTTCACTGGACAGAGCGCTCTGCCGTGAAGTTACTCAGAGGCGGATGGTAGCTCCCTTGTTGAACGCTGGGTTAGGAAGCTCACAGCCTGCCGACGGCGCCAGTGAGCGCGCTTCGTGCCCGCAAACGGAGAGTTTGTGAGGAGGTACGGCGCCGGCGCTGCACCTCCCATTGGCTGGATTTTGACACCCACCGTCTTGTCACTCGGCGACGCAGCTCCTTCAGCAGACCGTCGGCTCCTGTTTAGAGACATGTGCTGTGGGCCGCGAACGTGGCATTCGATTAGAAAAAAAGAGAGCTGTGGAGCTCTCTGGAATGCTCTGCACATTGTTGAACACGCTCCCTATGTGAGATCTCGAGTGACCAGGATGAGTCGCATTTGCATGGGCGATCTGGGTCACCAAATTGACAAAAGCAAAACAGAAAAAAAGAAAGTAGTGCAATGAAGGAAAATAGACATCAGAACAAAAGCAGCTGCATCACATGAGTAATTGAAAATATTGCACAAACTAAACATTACTAATAATTGCACTGTTGCATAAGTCTGTTCAGGAAGATTATATTGAGACTGATCATATTAAAATTACAAATTAAGTGACTGACACGGTTAACAGATAAGCAGGGTGGCTATTGTACTAATATGTAAACAGACTAGGATATATGTCAAACATAGTGGATATCCTCATTGGCAAGAGGCATTTACGACACCTGAATGCCTGTACAGGTGAGGAGGGTGTGCGAAGGGTTACCCCGGCGATGTTGATTTGGCAGGTGAGTGGGCCTGAGCGAATGCTAAATCTTCCGTGACAGTACCAGCAGCTAATCCGTGCAGTGCCACTTTACCTACGACTGTTCCGCGCCGTGTGATGTATTATCAGTGGGGAGCGGTAGTGTAGTGGTTAGCATGCCGCGCTACGAATCCGGCGACTCGAGTTTGATTCCCGCTCACGGCCACCACCGGTAACAATTATTTGAACCGGTTCTAGGCCTCCCCTAGGTCGACTCGGCTTCAAATGAGTATCCAGTGCAATTTGTAAACCGCGAATGAGCGCCGTTGGAAGGCGTGTGGCGTAATGGCGGTTTGATAGCCAGCCAGCCACCGCGTGCCGGCTGTTGGAAGAGCCCCCGTCATGTCCCCGCGCCGTGCCCGGCGCCAACGGGATGTCTCCCATGCGTTCGAGCTCTTGGCGTCACCTCCGCAGGTTTGGCGGTGGGGCCGATCTTCGCGTGACTTGGGACGCCGATTTATAGGAGAGCCGTCGTGACATGGAGAAAGCTACGATGCGTCGTCATACCATAGAAGCGCCCCGATAATCACTTCTCGTCCATTCTGATAATTTAATCGCCGCATCCTACGTGTGTTTGTTGAACTTCTTTCGCACCGTACGTAGCCAACCGTGCTAATCGGAGGTGCGGAGGGGAAAGAACAAGCTAAACTACACCTCTCTGGTTATCGTTGCTTTGGATTTTTTTCTCTTCCAAATTTTTGTTGATATTTCCGTACAAAATAATTATGAACTGACAATACGGTGATTAATTGCTCACAGTCATAATGATAATGCGATTAGTCAGGGTTACAAATAAACACATTCCTGCGGAGGGAGCTGGTAGGAACGTTGGGTTGCTCGGTCAATGGCCAGGGTCAACGGTGGCGTGGTGTATTCCGCAAATATGCCCGACTGTGAGGGCGGGCACAAGCCGGCGTGAGTAGGTTAAACGTTGAGTTTTATAAGGGCACCACGGGGTGACAAGCCCCTCCCCACCCAGCCCCATCCCTCCCACCCCCCACCCAGCCCCACTCTCCCCACCCAGCCCCTCCCCACCCTCCCCACCCAGCCCCTCCCCACCCTCCCCTCCCCACCCAGCCCCACCCTCCCCACCCAGCCCCTCTCCACCCAGCCCCACCCCTCCCATTTTTGGATGCACGACGGACGGACAAAATAATCCCCTGTGGGCTGGTGTAACCAGGAGGTTCCTACCAGTAATAGCTCTTAGCCATTATATTCGCAGTTTGTAATTGTTGGCTTGGCGGTTGAGTGACGACATCATTTCCTGACAGCCTGCGTGCTGTAGATAGTCAAATCGCAAGGGTTGCAGAAGGCTCATGGGCATGCTAACATTGAGAGAACTACAGCTGATGGAACTTTATAAGCTTTCGATATTCCTATAGAAAGTATTTCAGGCAGTAAAAGTTACTGTTTTGAGGATCGGTTACCGGTTCCAAAAGTCAGGAAAACGGTGACCGATCCCAGTGTAATTTTATCCATGAATGCACGCAATTTAAACTTCTTCATCATCAACAGCCATGATCGATCCACTGCTGCTGGATGATTGAAACTTGCACCAATTATATCAACTGCTGCACAGGGAGATGACATCGAACCCGTGCGCTAACCATGACTACACCGCTCTGACAGCTTGCCCAAGTTTTCTCAGTTCTAAAGATAAACACACCGTGTTTATTCTTCTGGACATTTCTGTGTCATGTGGGCAAACGGGTAACAGTATTTTAACCGGTTTTTATTTTACATTCAGTTACTGGTAAAGCACAAAATACGAGTTTTACAACCCCAGTAAAAGCTATGGGATACGATTACATAGTTACGTTACACCAATATTGCGATAAGTGATATCTGGTGAATGCAGCAATTCCTCATTTAACGCAGTAGATGCGTTCCTAAAAATGTCCGCATAAAGCGAGGGAATTACTGTGCGTACATTACAGGACATGAAGAAGTACGTTAATAAAAATGTCTAATTTGAATCGCATTTGCACTATAAAATCAGCCTGCAGCCATCCCATAGCGGGACAAAGAACTGAGATTGGGCTAGGCTGCTGCGTACCGTATCACTCCCCGCCTATACAGGGTACTCCCCGACTTACGATACAGGGTACTCCCCGACTTACGCTACAGGGTACTCCCCGACTTACGATGGAGATGCGTTATGACGACCCCCATCGTAAGTCAAAAATATCGTAAGTCGAAGATGGCCTTAGCCTACCCAGGAGTCTTAATGAATGGTGATAATTGAGCAAAACAGAGCAATTTACTGTACTGTACTGTATAAACTATATACTTTTCGATTTAAAGCTTTCGTGACTGCAAGGATTCATCTTCTTTGGTTCTTTCGGTAAAGTCACGTAGAATGAGAAACGTCGTGAGAATACTATTGTGTTATTTTATTTTATCAATTTATTATTTTATTCTCATTCTACGTGACTTTACCGAAAGAACCAAAGAAGAAACTATATACTGTATGTATTTATTAATTACAATACTGTTTTTGCACAGTAAAATTAAAAGTAAAAAAACAAGGTAAATTCTTAGCCTACCTATATGAACTGCAATTTCATAGAAAGTTTTTTTTAGGAAACAATCCTATCTGCTATAAAAACTTTTAACATGCATTGAACGTATGTATCGTATCGTGGTAACCCTAAAATGAAATCATACATGCATTGAACGTATCATAACGTATCATATTCTACTGTACTCACCAAGATTCTGTCGGTCGTCTGCATACTTGAACGATGTTAGGTTGTTGATGGCTACATTAACTTAGTTGTCGGAAGAGGAGGATGGCGATGATAAAGTTACAGTATCGTACCACGTACGCTGCTGCGTTTGCCTGCCGCGCGAAATTAAAAATATTTTACAATTTTGTCATATCGCTGTCGCCATCGTAAGATCTAAGTATGGTAAGTCGGACCATCGTAAGTCGGGGACTACCTGTACTGAGAATTCCCATACCAATCAAGAAAGTAGATTGTCGTCGACCGTTCAGAAACCGCATCACAAGAGGCTCGTTCCGCGTTCTAACGGTGCGCGTTGCCGCGTTGCGCGAAAAGTGGTCCCCAATAAACGGAACCGTGTTGCAGCGACAACGCGTTGCGCGAACACACGTTAAGTGAGGACTCGCCGTACGTGTAAGGCGTCTCGTGGATGTGTGAATTACCGTGAGTAATGAGTTACCGCGGTGACCCTGGTGCTGTACCCCGTTCTGTGTGCCCCAGCGGAGCGCTGCGCGGAGTGGAAGGCGGCGCTCAAGGCCTGTGCCGTCGTCAAGCAGGACAAGGTGAGTAAGGTGGGGGGGGGACACCCTGTGTTGACCACTGACAGCCCACCAACTGTGTGAGACGCCTCCGCGCTCACCAAAGACTCCCCGTGTAGCCTTAACAGAGTGTTTGGGCAACTGCTGCTAGCAAGCACCTATGAAGGCCGGGACAGCACACGAAGGGGTGAGTGGCCAGCACCACGCCCAACCGCCTTTGTCTCTCCAGTGGCAATGGACCTAGGGGAGGCCCAGGACCGGCTCAGATAATCGTCACTGGTGTTGGCCGTGAGCGGGAATTGAACCCAGATGGCCGGGTTCGTAGCGCAGCGCGCTAACCGCTACACCACCGCTCCCCACACCACCACCGTGTCTCTACCCAACCGCCACGCATCGTTTAAAGCACCGGGTGAGGTAGGCTGCATCTGTCTCTCCATCCCGGGTCTGTCTGCCATTGTGTCCGCCCTTCTGCGGAATTGGACAACATTTTGGACACGTTAATGTATGGGTCATAGTGTATTCGTGAGTTAGAATTAGTTCCCATGTGCGCTATTACCTGGGCGCTTAATTACGTTGGCACTTTGGGACTTGTTTTATACTAATTGAGTGAGGCATGATATTAAACGTAAGATGGCGATGATGATGGCGGGATATTATATTTTCAGAGCATGGACTTTTCAGAAATTTAAAGACAATTTAAGAATTTTATTTTAGATTTTCAGTTAATTTCCATTATGTACTCGTGTCAAGTGTGTGCCTGCTCACTATAGTGCCACGAGACGCCACTCTTTCTGACAATTGACGTCTTATGTGTGGGGTCACGTCCAGTTTTTGTATCAGTGTGGAACAAAACAAACATTTTGGATCGTCTGAAATTTGATATCTGAAATTCGATTTTCAGAATTTTTTGGTAAATCCAAAAATCGGGAATCCCAACAGTTTTTTTTCAAATGACAATGTAGGTTTGGCCACAGTCAAGACACTGCGTTGGCTCTGAACTCATCAAAAGCCAGGAAAGTGGCCTTTGATGGGCGTCAGAGTGGCACAGTGGTAACACCTCGCAGCGAGAGGGGGCCGGTGTTCGATTCAAACTCGGGCACCTTTCTGCGTGTCGAAGTTTGTCTGTTCTCCCCCTGCTGTTCCGGAGGGGTACCCTCCCATAGCCAAACGACATGAGATGCATTGTAGCTGGTATTGACTAAAAACATCCCAATGCTGAAAAATTACCTGCAAATAATGACTCAGTTGGGATCCGCACGAAGCAACATCGTAAACCATACTGCGAACAACTTGTGCAGGAACCTCCTGGCAAATGAGTCCTTAGACTCTGCGAGTCTTTCCTGGGTAAACAAGCAAAGTAATCATTAATTGGCTCATACACCTGGCCCTGCATGATGTCGTGGTCTGATGACGTTGAGTTGAGCTCACGTTAATCTTAAAGAGCGTTTAGAACAATGGGGCTTGCCCGAAATAAATCCGACCGACCGGCAAAAACCTGCTCCGCTGTGGGCGGCAGCGGACGGTCATCTCCCAGTGCGGAAGACGCAAGACTGTTACTGGGCAGCTGGCGTCCACCGGTTAAGGAACTGCACCCAACCACCCGCCCACCGGCCAACTGATAAGAGAGCCAAGGGTAACGTTGCGCCACCGCCGCCTTGATCCAATGGAGAGAACAAACCCGCCCTGGCTGAGCGAGCGTTCGAGAGGCGGAGGAGTTGCAGTGGCGGTTTGCTTCCCACAGCCGTGGGTGCCTCATATTTCAAAAAACAAAAGGACCGTTCGTTCGGCGCGGTTCTGTTCACCCCCCATCCCTGTTTTGGTTTAAAATGTTTTAATCCAAGGCTACGGCGTTGAGCGCTCCCATGCCAAATCCCAATTATAAGGGTTTAAGGGAAGCGAAATGAATTATGCGGTCAAAACGAGTACTGCCCAGCCAAGCTTCAGGTTGAGTCTCGCATTCATTGTGGATTGTGATGGTACCACAAAAATAGCGGAGCACTACACAAAACGCTTCTGTGTGTGCCTGTGCGTGTCTGTGTGCGTGTCTGTGTGTGTATGTGTGGGGAGCGGTAGTGTAATGGTTAGCTCACTGCGCTGAGAACCCGGTGACCCGAGTTTGATTCCTGCTCACGGCCAACACCAGTGACAATTATCTTAACTGGTCCTGGGCCCCCCACCCCTACGTTGACTCACCCTGAAATGAGTACCTGGTACGGTGTATAAACATCGCCACTGGGGAAACAAAGGTGTGGTGCTGACCACTCACCCCCTCGTGTGCTGTGCCGGCCTTCATAGGTGCTCGCTAACAGCACTTGCCCGAAAAAGTCTGTTCAGGCTACATAGGGGATATTTGTTTTGTATATGTTTGGCCTCGTGTCTTTGTGAATGTCCTCAAGTGTTTGTGTGTGTGCCTGTCTGTGTTGTCTCTTGTGTATCTGCACGTGCCTGTGTATGCCTGTCTCTACATATCTGTGTCTGCTTGCCCCAAAGTGCACACAGCCTGGCACAAGCGCCGCGATGATGATCACCGCCACGTGGCGGCGAATGGCGGCTGCTGCTGTTGTGGTTTGCGTATCTCGGTGCAGGTCTTCCTGTCTAGGCGTCTGCATGTCCTCTATATGCATGTCTGAGTGTCTGCGTCTTAGTGAACAACCGTTTGAGCCATATGCGTGCCTTGTGGTGAGTGTCGGTGAAATTTGTGAAATTTCCAAGCCCCCACTCGGCTCTTTGGTGGCCGGTCGACGTCGGAGCAGGAAAGTAAAAATAAATCAATCTGTTTGGAGCTTTGAGTGCATTCCCTTTGTAAGTGTGGTATTTTCTCCGGGTTCTCCAATTTCCCCCGCCACGCAACAAGCCAGACGTGAAGTTAAACTAGAATTGGCCAAGCAAGCAATGCTAGCAGAACCCTCCTAAAAATAATCTTGAAACTCTTTTCCCTGCATGACAAAAATAAAAAAAACGCACATTGTTATCGTGATTTCGAATTTTTACCTTCGGTTCATTACGCCGACATCTCAAAGTCAATCCTCGTGCGTTATTTGGTCGATGTTAATGAACGAATTGGACGGTTCGAACTGTTAACAATTTAGTTACGATCGGTGAAAACGAGTTTTTTCCATGTGCGAGTGATTTATTTTAAACTATGCAGAGAAAACTGTTCATCCTTGAACTCTCAAAATAATCATTAGTATACTTGCGCAGAATACTCTAATAGCAATGTGCCTCCTTTCTATAATTTTCTCTTAACAATTAAAGTATATTTTTTATGCATCCCATCAGCCACACGGTCTTCTGGAAGTGTGGGTGGCCGATGGGATGTGTAATAAAAACAACACTTTTTTAATGTGGAGAGACATTTGAAAGAGGTGCATTAACAGCTTATTGATTTTAACCTTACATTTTCGCACTCTGGAGGCCTCCACAGCGCTAAGTTGTGGTCACTACCGACTGACCAGTCAACCAATCTCTCTGTGTCCCTTCTCTCTCTGCCCTGTAGTTGGGCCATCACCCGAAACGTCAGCATTAATCTAGAGAAGTTTCTGTCGATGACAGACACGGCGAGTTGTTTGTGTTCACGCGGAGCACGTTGCCAGACCCGCGTCCCCCTCCGTCCCACACCAACCTCTCCGTTAACAATTAAATAACCCCCCCCACCACAACAAGTTATACACAGCGCGAGCTCCGACCCCCATGCGGAGCCGCCACACGCGCCATACGCTGATTCATCTCAGCTGTTTGACCTCCGCGCGCCTTAAGGAGCTCTCTCCGAGCAGGGCTGTGGGGCCGCGGGGCCACGGAGCCGCTGTTTTGGCTTCGGCGGGGAGCCGCTAATGGCCGGGAGAGACAGCACGGCCGCCGCTGACCCAACTCAAACTTAAAGTGGGGAGGGGGGGGGGGCACCTCACGCCACATGCCCCCCCCCCCCGGTGGGGGCCAGCCGCGCTCCAGTTACCTCCCTCGGGTGAGCGCCCCCGGGTTCTGGCCGGCGTGGCCGGCGTTTTAACGAATTAGGGTGTTTATGAGGCAGTGGGTAAATTTACCGTGCGCCGTGTGTGCGTGCGTGCCTCCTCCCCCCCACCCCCGCACCCCCTCGAGGGTTCTGGCATCCGAGCGCGAGCTTTTGATTTTCCTCGCCAGTTTGCTTGCGGCACGCTCTCGCTTTCCTTCTTTCAAATGGAGCGCTGCTCCTCGTCGGTCGCAGAGGGCCTAGGAGCAGCGCGGCGGCGAGCATTGGCCGGCGGCAGCTGGTAATTTACGGGAAGCAAACACGCGGCTTCGATAACGCTTCAGCCGTCGCTGTAGTGCATTCCGGACGCACGAAAACAACTTTTGGGGGGCTGCGACTAATTCCGTCGTGGAGTTTGTTGTTGTTTTTAGCGAAAACGCAGAGAATGGATGGGTTGTTTGGGATCAGCGTGAGCATCTGCGAGCGGCCGCGATAAGTCGGGGCGTTGCGAAAACAAGGCCACATTGTTTATTTGGTTTAGCACAGCAGCAAAAAGGCGCAAACTATCTCCTACCCTTTTGCCAGCGATGTTTTTATCGGTGATGTACGGGCACCTTGAAAGGCCCTTTATAAATGTTATGTATTGTTATTAGTAAGTGGCCAGTAACAAACAGCACTGCCAGAACGTGTAGGTGTATTTTTTTCTTGGCCGCAGGCGATATTACAATTCAATATCGTGATTGATTTATTTTGAGGTTAGGCCTAAGCCCAAAAAAGTAATTATGAATCAGCAACTATTATCAAAGTTGTAAATTAGGCAAGTGGTGCCGAACGTGTGTCTCCAATTGAGCACAGTTAGCTTAAGGGCTTGGGGAAAACGAGCCGATGGGAGGGACTTCCATCATGGACTATACCCCACCATCGATTCGATTAACCAGTCTGCCGTCGATTTCACGATGAACGGGGGGCGCAAAGGACCAGTTCGGATATCGCTCTCGTGCTGACGTTCACCGTGGCTGGGAATCGAACTCAGGTCATCGGATTAACCGCAAAGCACGGGGGCCACCACTGCTCCACC